TCTCCTTGGGGCTCACTGGGCCACCACTACTGCCTCTGCCAGCTGCCAGCCTAATGGTTCTTGCCTGTAGTCTGTGCTCCGGCCAATGGCCTTGTAGTGAATCTTCTGTCCTTCACAGGGCTCTGTGTACCAGAAGACCAACGCTGTATCTGAGATCAAAAGAGTTGGCAAAGACAGCTTCTGGGCCAAAGCAGAGGTGAGTGCTGCCTGGGCACCATGACAGTAGCTGACACTTGTAGAGCGTCTCCTATGTGCCAGGCAGGTAGTGAGTATTTTACTCGCTGTGTCTCAGTTTTTTTTACAATAAGCTTGTAGAGCAAATGTTTTTGTTAGTAACTGTTTACAGATGGTCAAACTGAGACTTAGAGGGGTTAAGTAACAAGACGAGTGAGTGTCACTCGAGCCCACACTTGACCATGTCACTGTGCAGGCTGCCTGGGCAGAATGGGGCAAGGGCAGTGCAGGGGCTGAGCGGGGCAGGCGGGTGCGGCTCTCCCTGCAGAAGGAAGAGGAAAACCGCAGGCAGGAGGAGAAACGGCGGCTGGAGCAGGAGCGGCAGCAGCTGGAGCAGGAGCGGCGGGAGCGGGAGCTGCGTGAGGCCGCACGCCGCGAGCAGCTCTATCTGGAGCAGGATGGCGAAGCCGGCCCCCAGAGGTAAGGCCCCAGAGGAGAGGTGGGTGGCTGCCACCTGGGGCCTGCCTTGGGGCCTTCTCTGCTTCTCCCTGGGAGCATCCCCTGGAGGCAGGCGAGGAGTGGGCTGGGGCTGGGCTGCAGCTCTTCCCTCTGCCCTCCCAGCAGGAAGTATGAGCAGCAGGAAGTGGTTTCGAGGAACAGAGAAGAGCAGGTGAGACTTGGACGTGCCCACCCAAAGGGGCCAGTCACAGTAACTCGTGGGAGTCCCCCATCTGCTGGGGCTCGTCATGGACAGGCCTGGAGGCTGCCTGCTGTGCGCCACGGCAGCCATCGGGGTTTCTTCTGACACACGGGCCCAGCGCAGCAGGCCTAAGGGAGGGGGTTACTGCAAGGGTCCTGCAGCCAGCTGGGGCAGATTGGAACCTGGCACACATGTTGGTACATCAGACATGGCAGTGGAGGGGAGAGCGAAGGGCAGAAGCTCAGCCTGGCGAGGACCTCAGCCTGGTCCTAGAAGAGGCCTGTGAGCCCCTCAGCTCCAGGGTTTTGCATCCTGGCTGCCCCCCACAGCTGCCGGGAGCCAGGCAGGCTGATAGGCTCCTGGGTCCTCACGCACTGCTGGTCCACGTGTGCTCCCCCAGGAGCCTGTCTGTCAACAGCCAGCACACCCACGGGAGATTTTCAAGCAGAAGGAGAGGGCCATGTCTACCACATCTATCCCCAGCCCCCAGCCAGGTGAGACTTCCCTCTGGGCCTAGCCATGAGGCAGGGCAGACAGGTGGGGAGCCTGGGGTCCCAGTGTAGGACCCTCTGAGGTAGTGACAGATGTGTCAGAAGTTGACAGGCAAATGCATAAGGAGAGCCTGTGCTCATGAGGGCAGCTTCTGGGAGGGGGAGCCTGGGACCCAGGTGTCCCTTTCTACCCTTGGCCTTGTCCTACAGAGACCTGGTGGGAGAGGAGGGGCCATGTGTGGCTCCAGAGTGGAGGCCTGTCCAGCCCCAGCCCTGTAAACCCTGGAACAGTTCACATGTTGGGCTGTTAGCTAGATCCCAGCGGCCTGCATCAGTCACCTTTCTGGCCCCCAGAGGACACAGGACTGCACTTGCTGCTGGCCAGCTCTCCCATACTGCACGTGGCCCCTGAGGGGCTGCTTAGAGCATACTGGTGTGTGAGTGTGATGTGTACACACCAGGCTGTGGTTCTGTAGCTGCCATGTGTCCCTATGTGCCCTTGTGTGACGGCCACTATCTCAGGACGGGTCCACCCTCTGGGCAGTGCAGGACACAGAAAAGGTGGAGACTGCACATTCTTCCCCCTTTCCAGCTGCATGATGTCCTGTGTGTTTACCGTTGGTTTGCAGGCAAGCTGAGGAGCCCCTTCCTGCAGAAGCAGCTCACCCAGCCAGAGCCCACCCTGGTCAGGGAGCCAACTCAGGCCACGTCAAGGCCCAGGGCAGGCAAGCCATGGCCATCCCGAGGTGGCTGTGGGAGGGAGCCGGGGGATGTCCTCTCCCCTCCCTGGGGTCCAAGCAGGCTGTGTCCTCCCATGCAGATCTCCGTGAGGAGCCGGCACCCAGCGCCCCTCCTGGTCCAGTGCAGGCAGAAGAGGAGGCCGTGTATGAGGAGCCCCCAGAGCAGGAGACCCTCTATGAGGAGCCCCCAATGGTGGGTTCCCTGCAGCAGGGCAAGGCTGTGCATGGGCCACGTGCCGTACTGATGGTGGGATACCTGGCTATTCCATGGCTCACTGCGCATGGATGATCTTAGCAGTTTTGGAGCAGCCCCACCGTCCACATGCCCTGCCTCTTTCCCCAGGCCTCTGAGTTCTGACCTTGGGCAGGGCCAAGTCTGTGCTAACCAGGAGCCCTAACTTCTCTTCTTCTTTCCTGTCCATGGGCAGGTGCAGCAAGATCCTGGCTCTGAGCATGTAGACCCCTACCCGGGTCTGAGTGGGAAAGGGCTTTGTGCCCGGGCCCTTTACGACTACCAGGCAGGTAACGTGCTGTGGCCCAGCCACCTCAGACCACAGGGCCCGGGATCAGGAAATAGGGTTCTGGGGCTCCCTCGGGGGGACAGCCTCAGGTGGTGGTAGAAGACAGGAGGGTGAGAGGGGAGAGTGGGGTGGACACTTCCAGTTGCCAGCTGTGTTCTAGAGCCTGAAGGTATAACTAGAGAGATGAGCCAGGCCTAGACTCTGGTGCCCCAGGTGACCCTGGGTGGAGGCCTTGGGGAGCAGGCTGATGTGTGGAAGTACTGTACTCCAGCCTTTTGCTGGAACAGTAGGCCCAGAGCAAGACCCTATAGGAAGGTGTATTTTGGGGACAGCATTGGGACAGGCTGGGGTTGGCACCCAGGGCCCCAGGGCCCCCAGTGTAGCATCTGGGCTCACCCTCTTTGCAGCCGACGAGACTGAGATCTCCTTTGACCCTGAGAACCTCATCACGGGCATCGAGGTGATCGACGAAGGCTGGTGGCGTGGCTATGGGCCCGATGGCCACTTTGGCATGTTTCCCGCCAACTATGTAGAGCTCATTGAGTGAGGACCCTCCACTGCTGGCCAAGGCTGAGGCCCATCCTTCCCTTCCCCACCCTGACGTGGTTTCCTTCTTGCTGGAGGAGGTGGCATGAGAGTTGGGTGCGGCACCCTTCCAGGAATGAGACCCCGCCGCCTCCCATGAGGACAAGCCCTCGGGCTCCCTCTGTCTTGAGTGGCTCAGCCTGTCACCCCAAATGCAGCAATAACCTGGTAATTCTAAAACATGCTTCCAGCAGCCTCCCAGGCCCTCCCAACCAGCCTGGCCTTGACCCCAACAGAGGACATTGAGCAGAGCCCTGCCCACGGCCAGCCCCTTGGTGACCTCTGCCTAAGGAGAATAGCACTGCCAAGCTGTAGGGTCTGAGCAGGGGCATCTAAAGGCCTCCTCTGTACTTCCTGTTTCTCCTTTTCCTCTTGGCTCTAAGGGGTGGTGGCTACAGCGTTTGGTAACCCTTGGGAACAGTGAACTTAGAGTTTATGACCAAAGTCAGAGTGGGTCCTCACAGTGTGAGGAGCGTAGTTCATCTTTTTGGATCCTCTCTTTACTCCCCCTTCCCTGCCCCTCTGCCTGGGCTGGGGGCACTGGGGACAGAAATGACCAATCCCCCATCTGAGTGTGTTAAGGAAGATGTGAAAACATCAACGGACACAACGTGACCTTCCGTGTGGCTCACTCCTGTCTGCTGGCCTATGTGCGCCTCTCAGCTGATTCCAGTTCAGGAAAAGTAACCAGAGTGGCCTGCGCCTGCTGTCTTCCCTCTACCTCTGTGCCAGCCTGCCCATTTCTGCCTTTGAAGTAAGAATTGCCCCACATAGGCCCCAGCTCTGATCACCCTGTCATAGCCTGAATGCCCCTCTGTGGAAACAAACCCTTGCGTGGGTGTCTGTGGTGTGCATGTGTGTGCACCACTGGCCGACCCTTAGCCACCTGGAAGAGGCATAAATGTTAAGTTGTGACTGAAGTCAGCCTCCTGCGTTTCACTTCTCTGGGAGGGGCCAAAGGCCACCCTGCTCCCTGCTACGTAGAGCCTCCGCCCATGCGGGACAGAGCGTGTGTGCCCGTGGGTGTGGAGTGAGTGAGGTGCCTGGAACATTACAGTTCCTCCTGTGCCTTGGGAAGCGCTAGGTGGAAGCGGCTTGGGGTGAAGGCTGTGCTGTGGAGGTCACTGGACCCAGGTGGTGGCCAAGCCCTGTGCCTCCTTCCCACCTGGTGACAGGTGGCCTGTCCTGTTTGCCCCTTAGGCAGAGCTGCAGGCAGGCCTCACTGTGTCCTGATTTCTCTCTCATGAAGATGACAGGCCTCAGCTATGGAGGCCCCATGAGTCAGGTTGCCAACTTTGAGGCCACCTGTTGGCTGATCTGTGCCCAGACAAGGGGACACTCAGGAGGCAGGGCTCAGGGTACCACCTTCTCTGCCTGCCCTAGGGCTGCAGGGACAGCAGGGGACAACCCATTTGAAGGAAGCTGGCCACGAAGCGGTGTCCTAGCTGCAGTCCTCATTCACCACGGGGAGGGCTTGGTCACTTGAACACCCCCTAGGTAACCCTAGGCACCCTGATTCTAGAGCAAGGTTACCAAGTGGCTCCTCAGCTTTGAGTGTCACCATAGGGGCTTGTTAGGAGCTACCTGATAGCCACGGATGGGGACGAGGCTCCTTCCCCTGGTTCCTGGGGTCCCCACACCTAATAGGGCGCGCTGGGCCGGCAGCAGGGGCCAGGCCCCCTGGGGCAGCATTTGTGGAAGCCCAGGTTCCAGGCCTGTGGAGCCAGCCCTGAGTGAGTGCTAGGGGGTGGGCATGTGCCAGGCATGCTGGGGCCACGCTGGACTCAAGGCAGTGGGAGGAGCAGCCTTTATTGCCAGAGCCCACCCTTCACTTGGCCTTGCCCTGGGCAGCCACGGCCTCCATGGCCTTCCGTACAGTCTCCTCGTCACCCAGGAACCGCATGGGCTTGGTGGGCTTCAGTGCTGCGTCCAGCTCATACACGATGGGGATCCCCGTGGGCAGGTTCAGGTCCATGATGGCCTGGTCGGACATCCCTGGAACGGAGGAACAGTCCTTAACCACTCCCAGCCTGTCCACTAGGCAGCTGCCTGCTCTTGCATTCAGCCGCCTCCGTGACCTTTATGAGCCACAGACCTGGTTGGCTGGCAGAAACCATCCCGCCCTGACAGCAAGGCCACAGAAATGTGCCTAGAGAAGGTCAAGGCAGAACTGAGTGAGACAGAGCGACATACAGAAATAGCCGTGGTAAACCGAAGATTGAGCCGCCGTGACCTGGGGTGGCACCATCAGTCTCCTCAGCCTGATGGGAACTCTGGCCAGACCAGTGGATGTTTGGGTTCAAGAAAGACGGTAGACGTTTGGTTTCTAGAGAGTTCTAAATTCTAGACATCCTGAGCAGAGGAGCAGGAGTGCTCCTGAGAAAGGAGGTAGAGGAGGAACAGGGAGGAGGAACAGGGAGAAGGGCCTCCCCTGGCCAAGGTGGACAGGAGGCTGCCAGGTGGAAAGGGTAAGGTTTCCTGGGGAAACCCGACCCTGCCGGCCTCTGCAGCCCCTGGCCTGGAATAGCAGCTGACCTTTAGTATTCCTGTCACCCCACTCTCTCGGCGTAAGGAAGGCTTAAGAGTGTGTTCTCTGGGCAGTGGGAGACCCTAGTCACATTCACCTTGGTGCATCCTTTTCTCCCAGACAGGGCTGAGAGGCATGTGGGCTGCAGGAAGCCCCCAGAAGGGAGGGGCAGAAGATGGTCGTTCCATCTCCTGGGCTCAGCACCTGGTGCGAGGCGTTTCTGTGGCCACAGCATCCTGGGGAGGGCAGACAGGCTGGCCAGGGCTCAGGCCTGCTTGTCTGTGCTCTGGCCAGCTCCCCATCAACTCCCAGGAGCAGAAAGGTTAGGGCCCATCACCCTACCTGTGTTCCCCTTCCCACCGTCTCAACAGGTGTGAAGGCCATTCAGATGCAAACTTAGACTGTGCTGATGTCTGAAAATCCTGTGGGCCCCTGGAACTGTCTCAGGTGGTAGTCGAAGGAAGCCAGCAGAGCTGCCCGTCATGTGAGGAGAGTCTGCCCTCTGCTCTTTAGTGGGAACCCCACTACCATCCTTGAGTGAGTGGGTGTGAGCTGGGGTCCTGGGAACTAGAGGTGGTGGGGCCCTGCCCCCTGTCCTGCCCCATATCCAGCAGCAGGCAGTACTGGGAGGAGCCCCATGAGGCCCCCACAACCAACCCCAGAGGGGGTGGTTGAGGCCCAGCGAGTCAAGTGACTTGTCTAGGGTCACTCATCAAATGGATTTGGAGCCAGACAGCCCTGCCTTTTCCCAGCTGGGTCCTTGGGTAATATACCACTCCTGAGCCTTCCCACCTCCCCCAGGGTTTGTGTCGGAAACTGGGCCAGCCCTGGGCCCCTCAGCCCCTGTGGCAATGTTTTTACTCACAGTCTTCAGAAGGAGACTCATTTTACACAGTATCCTAGTACATATGTGGAAATGAAACAAAAACGTGCAAAGCAGTTTTTTAAATGGTTTCTCAGCCCTCCCAGTTCAATTCTCTTTGAAAGCTGCACCCCTGGGCACTGACATCTGCAAAGCTGCCTCAACCAGGCAGCAGGAACTTTGCTGAAATGAGAAGCTGGGGGCTGACTGGTTCAGGGGTCAGAGTGTCACCTCCTCCCCCCACCTCCACCCACACCCCATGGGAGCGTGGCTCTCACCTTCCAGATGCTTGACGATGCCCCGAAGGCTGTTCCCGTGGGCCGCGATGAGCACTCTCTTGCCAGCCTTGATTTGGGGGGCGATCTCCTCATTCCAGAAGGGCAGGGCCCGGGCAATGGTGTCCTTGAGGCTCTCGCAAGTGGGCAGTTCCCCAGGCTTCAGGCCTGCATACCGACGCTCCTGGGGGCATTCACATTGCTGTTCCCTCCCCAGACAGCAGCCCCCCAACTTGGGCTCCCATCCTTGAGGCTCCCACCCCCAGGCCTTCCCTCCTGTGCCCTGAGCAGCCCACCTTGCTGATGGAGCTGTAGTAGGGGTGCTTCTCATCCATGGGGGGTGGAGGGATGTCAAAGGAGCGCCTCCAGATCTTCACCTGCTCCTCCCCGTGTTTGGCGGCTGTCTCCGCCTTGTTGAGGCCTGTGAGGCCCCCATAGTGCCGCTCATTGAGACGCCAGGTGCGCACCACAGGCAGCCACATCTGGTCCGTGCCATCCAGGATGGTCCAGAGGGTGCGGATGGCCCGCTTCAGCACCGACGTGTAGCAGATGTCGAACTCCATCTTGGCGTCCTTGATGGCATGGGCTCCCCTCTTGGCCTCCTCGGCCCCCTTCTCGCTCAGCTCTGCATCAAACCAGCCACAGAAGCGGTTCTCCTGGTTCCAGGTGCTCTCGCCGTGCCGAACCATCACGAGGCGGTGGGTGGCCATGGCTGTGGCGGTGGGGACCGTGACGGTCTCTGAACAGGGACAGCTGCCTCCCAGGCACCCCAGCTTTATAGTAGTCTGTCCCCAGCCCCCACCCTGGCCAACTGCCACTCAGCATTCCAGGCCCGACAGGCGGCGGCAGGTGGCCAGTAGCAAAGCTTTGGTGGGGAGGGCGCTGAACTGGACTTAAAATAGCCCTGCCAGCCACCAGTCCCCACACGCTAGAGCTCAGGCTAAGTAGGGCTGGGTTGGGCTGCTGAGCAGGGCTGAGGGTGAAGGGCAGAAGTCAGGGCCTCTGACAAGCCTGAGAGGTGGGGGCTAGCAGGAACAGAGGGTCTCTCCAGGGAAAGACTCTCCCTGAGGTCAGGGCTCTCAGCCCCATGAACCCCTCCCTGCTCCCAGGGGGCCTGACACACACTCAGGCAGAGGCACAAAAAAGTCCAAACTGATTTCTCCTAGTCACTCTTAACACAACTGGGCAGAAGCTTGCATTCCAGTAAGGAAACTGGCCTCGTGTCAAGGGGAGCCAAGGGATGTGTGTGTGCACACATGTGTGTGTTTGCCCATGCACATGTGTGCATATGCACACACGAACATGTGTGCACACATGTGCATGTGCCTGTCACATGTGTGTGCATGTAGTGTGCATATGTGAGCTGCCTGTGTCTGTGTTGCATATGTGCATGCATGTGCTTATGTGCACATGTACAAGGGTATGTCTCTTGCATGTGTGTGCACGTGTGTGCTTATGTGTGAACTGCCAGGAGCTTCTCCCAGTGGCTCTGCTCTGCCCACCTCGGAGTTGGGGGGCTACATATTGGCAGGGGTCCCTCAGGAGTCCTAACCCCCCTCCCCATGTCCCTCTGCCCTGGCCGGCCCTACCCTCAGGATGAGCCCTGCAGGAGCCTGGAGCTGATGGCCAGGCTGGGAGGGGCTGCGATATCATCTCCACTAGTCCCCAAAAGGGGCAGAGGAGGGGAAAAGGTCACTGTGGGCAGAGCCAGGGGAGAAGGTAGGGGCTGTAGCCCTGGGGAGAGAGGTCTGGCCTTGCAGGAGAGGGCACTGGGCAGCAGTGTGGGCAGGGGCCAAGGCCCAGCCAGACAGAGCTGGGTTTCCAGGACAAGCAGTGGAGCTGGAGGTCTGGTTGCCTGGGCCAGTGGGGAGCAGGAGTCCCTTTCTCTCTTCTCGTGTCCCTTCGTCAAGTTTTTGTCCACATCTGCCACATTCTCCCACCCTACGTGCCTTCACCCCAAGCCAGGCTCACCCCTCCCAGCTGAAAACACCTTTAAAAAAAAAAAGAAATCTAGGATTCATGTGCCTGAGGGGTTCCCGGAATCAGAGGTACTAGTTGTTAGGTTCATGCCCAGATGGCAGGAGCACCCAGAGGTAGACTGAGGTTGGAGCTGGGGACAATGTGGAGTTGGGTCCAGTCCCAGGACTTCTGCAGTCAGGTTTTGGGGGTGTAGGGGAGGAAGACATTTCCTCTACCCTCTCTGGGTTCTTCTGGCCAGAGACGAATTAAATTTACATGAGACAGAATAACAGGAGAAAATTAAACAAAGCTTTATAACATGTATACATGGGAGAGGCTCAGGCAAGCTGAGCAACTCACCAAAATGGCTGAAGCCACTACCTTAAATACCATCTTCAGTTAACAACAAAGGAGGCTGTTGGGGGTGGAGGGTGAGTCGATCATGGGAGATTACCACACAAGTACAGTAAACAAATGCAGATTTAAGTCCTTGCCTTTGGCATTGATTAAGAGTTTCTAGAGATAAGGTCATCCCCCCTTCTTCCCTGTACAGAGAGGGAGACAACTTTACAGATGGAGATTTCCTTTACAATGTAAATATCTCCTAACAAAGGGCAAGCAAGTTCCACTCCTCAGAGCCTCCTTCCCGTCTGCAGTTTATTAAAAGTAACCAGCCCGAAATAATCCACATGCCAAAGAGACATATCTTGGGGTGGCCAATTCCAGGCCCCCACAGGGGACAAGGGCCACTGGGGCAGGACTTGTGAGGAAACAAGCAGAGCTGTGAGGTCAAGATGTCAAGTCACAGCTTCACCCTCATGAAGGTGCCAGTCCAGGGCCCCCCACCTCCTCCCACACCACTGCCCACGTGACCACACCCTCACCCGGCCAGGCTTCTGAAAATGGAAAAGTGTGGGTGGAAAGCCAGCCGAGGGGTCAGCCACCTCTATACTTGGGCTTGAGTGTGTGAGAACCCCCAACATGCCTCCCTCCAGCCCTCTGCCCACCCAGGGGAGAGGCGCCTGAGATGGAGGCTGGCACTGGAGGCCACCCTGCAGTCTTGCTCCTCCAGCTCTGTCCTCGTCCAAGCCACATCTCCTGATTTATGGTCTACTTTTTGTCCTCTTGACCACTGGCCAGGCCCTGGGGGTCCAGGAGGGAGTCAGGCGGGAAAGTCACATTCCAGTAGGGGAGGATAGTCAAGCAACTCAACAGGCTATTCTAGCTCGTCCTGGTAACTAGGAAAGAGTCAAATAAGGGATAGGGAGACATGGGAGGGGAGAGGGCTGCAACTGTCGGTAGGGGGCAGGGGGCTACAAACAGCCCCTCAGAGGTGACATTTGAGTAGAAACATCAGAATGCAAAGGACTCAACTATGATGAGTCCTAGGGGGAGAGCATTCCAGGCAGAGGAACCAGCAAACAGAACAGCAAACAGGCATGTGGCAGAGAGGCACGGAGGGGCTGGGCCTGCGTCCTGATGTGGCAGGAATCACTGGAACGTTTAAAGCACAGTTATATTTTTAAAGTCACTTGCGGCTGTGGGGAAAATGACTTGTGTGGAGGCAGGAGTGGAAGCCTGGTTAGGCTGGAGGCGGTGGCTTTGGGTTAGGTGAGAACAACGAGGCTGCTTGGCCTGGGCTGGGTGCAGATGGGGTGGCAAGGAGCCACTGGACTGGGGAGCCTCGCTGCCAACTGGAGGAGGAACACAGCAAAGAGGGCCAGGGGATGCCTTGCTGCCTGTCTGAGGGATGTCAAGAATGCTGGGGACCTCAAACGAGGGTCAGGACTGGGGAGGTGACACCCAGTTTCTGAACTTTAGCTCCAGCCTGACTTTTATGCATCCAACAAGGAGTCATCAGGGATGTCGGTGTGCCCGGGCAGCTCAGGAAAGGCCCTGCCATGGGGTCTCCATACCCCGTAAGGGAGACAGACAACATGCAAGGATTGCGTGGTGGGCGGCAGTGAGGGCCCCAGAGAAGGAAGCAGCGGGGCAGGAGGGCTGCTGTTTCAACAGGATGGTCCTGGGAACGTGGAGTGAGCACCCTCCACTGGTCTCTCTGCTTGATCACAACTGTAAACCCTGGACAGACTCTCAGAGAACTGTGAAAAGTAAGTAGCAGCAGGTGAGTGAGGCAAGGAGACCAGATTCAGAGTTCCATGGAACAGTGGCAAATTGACCATTTTTTTTTCTTCCACAATTGCCCAGCCTGGACATGAAGGCAGCTTGAAACCTGGAAGTGCAACCAGAGTGGACACAGGGCTCCAGAGGATCCTTCTGGTCCAAGGAGCAGAAATGAAGCCCTTACAGGTGGGGCGCAGGGGGCGGGGGAATCCCCTGATTTGTTCCCATCGTCCCCACCCCAGCTCCTGGGCAATATTGTGGAGATGGCATGGTGATGGCAGCGTCAGCTGGGCAGGCAGCTGAAACCCTGAGAGGGGAGCTACCCTCTAACCAGGGGAGCTGAGGCCACAAGAGTGTTTGGCAACTACCCGCTGCTTTCTCTCTGCCCTCCTGAAGCTGAGGCCTGGATGCAGCTGCAGGAGCTGTGCAGCAGGATGCGGAAACGAAGGCCCTGGGTTTGTGGCCAGAGGTCTTGGAAAGCAGGCCCCAGGGATCCAGTAAAGTTACAGATGAATTCCTGGGTTCCCTGCCAAGCTGCCCAAGTGGGATCTGACCCTAGATGCACACCACAGGCCTCAGGCTGACCACTGGGTGGTGCAGACAGACCCAGGACAGATCTGACTGGTAGTCAAACACGTTATACATTGAGCTGGAATCACAGCCCACAGAAGACAGGTGACCTGATTGCCTGGCAAAACAGCACAATCAACATTCTCCTTAGGAGTTAAATAGGATCCAGACTCTCAACATAATTCAAAATATCTAGGACACTTTTGCGTGTGGCTGTCCAGTTTTCCCAATAAAATTTATTAAAAGGACTGTTCTTTCCCCATTGAATATTCTTGGCTCCTCTGTTGTAAGGTATTTGATCACATATGTGTGGGTTTATTTCTGAGCTCTCTATTCTGTTCCACTGATCTATTTGTCTGTTTTTATGCCAGTACCATACTATTTTGCTTACTATAGCTTTGTAATATAGTTTGAAATCAGAAAGTGTGATGCCTCTAGCTTTGTTCCTCTTTCTCAAAATTGCTTTGGCCGTTCATGGTCTTTTGTGTTTCCATACAAATTTTAGGATTGTTTTTTCTATTTTGATAAAAATTCCATTGGAATCTTGATAGGGACTGCATTGAATCTGTAGATTGCTTTGGGTAGTATGGACATTTTAACAGTATTAATTCTTCCAATCATGAACATGGAATGTCTTTTCGTTTATTTGTATCTTCTTCAATTTCTTTTATCAATGTCTTAGTTTTCGGTGTAGAAGTCTTTCACCTTGTTGGTTAAATTTATTTCTAGGTATTTTATTCTTTTTGATGCAATCGTAAATGGAATTGTTTTCTTAATTTCTCTTTCTGATGGTTCGTTGTTAGTGTATAAAAACACAGCTGATTTTTGTATACTGATTTTGTATCCTGCAACTTTACTGAATTTTTTAATTTGTTCTTAACATATTTTTGGTGGAGTCTTTAGAATTTTCTATATATAACATCATATCATCTACAGAGAGAAAATTTTACTTCTGATTAAATGACTTTTATTTATTTTTCTTGTCTAATTGCTGTGGCTAGGACTTCTGGTACTATGTTGAATAAAAGTGGCAAGAGTGGGCATCCTTTTCTTGTTCTTGATCTTAGAGGAAAAGCTTTCAGCTTTTCACTGTTGAGTTTGATGTTAGCTGTGGGCTTATCATATATGGCCTTTACTATGTTGAGACACGTTCCTTCTATACCCACTTTGTTGAGAGTTTTTACCATAAATGGATGTTAAATTTTGTCAAGTGTTTTTTCAGCATCTATTGAGATGATTACATGATTTTTATCCTTCATTTGGTTAATGTGGTGTGTCACACTGATTTGTGGCTGTTGAACCATCCTTGCATCTCTGGAATAAATCCCATTTGATCATGGTGTATGATCTTTTTAATGAGCTGTTAAATTTGGTTTGCTGATATTTTGCTGAGGATTTTTGCATCTATATTCATCAGGGATATTGGCCTGTACTTTTCTTTTCCTGTGGCAGCCTTGTCTGGTTTTGGTATCAGGGTAATGCTGGTCTCATAAAATAAGGCTGCACATAATCCCTCCTCTTCTGTTTTTTGGAAGAGTTGGAGGAGGATTGGTATTAATTCTTCTTTAAATGTTTGGTGGAATTCACGAGTGAAGCCATCTGGTCCTGGACTTCTGTTTGTTAGGAGGTTTTTGATTACTGATTCAATCTCCTTACTACTAATTGGTCTGTTCAGATTTTCTATTTCGTCACCCTAGTGGTGTGAAATATCTCATTGTGGTTTCCATTTGCATTTTCCTAATAACTAATGATGTTGAGCATCTTTCATGTGTTTATTGGCCATTTGTATACATTCTTTGGAGGAACTTCTATTCAGGCCCTTTGCCCATTTTTTAAATGAGTTGTCTTTTTGTTGTTGAGTCATGAGAGGTTTTTTTAAAAAATCGTATTCTGGATACTAGACTTTTCCCAGAATAGATGATCTGCAAATATTTTCTCTCATTCTTTGGATTGTATTTTCACTTTCTTAATGGTGTCCTTTGAAGCTCAAAAGTTTTAATTTTGATAAAGTCCAATTTATTATTTTTTTCTTTGGTTGCTTGTGCTTTTGATGTCATATTTAAGAAACCATTGCCATGATGATGAAGGTTTACTCCTAAGTTTTCTTCTAAGAGTTTTATAGTTTTAGCTGTTACATTTAGGTTGTTAATCACTTTGAGTTAATTTTTTAATATAGAGTGAGGTAAGGGGCAACTTTGTTGTTTCACATGTGAATATCCAGTTATCCCAGCATCATTTGTTGAAGAGATTATATTTCCCCCCATTGAATTCTTTTGGCACCCTTGTTGAAAATCAATTGAACGTAAGTGTGAGGGTTTATTCCTGGACTCTCAGTTCTATTCTCTTGACCCATATCTCTGTCCTTTTTCCAGTATCTTATCCACAGTCATCTTGGTTATCCATTTGTACAAAACTTTGTACAAAGTTTTGAAATTGGGAAGTGAGTCCTCTAGCTTTGTTTAATCTTTTTCAAATATTTTCTTAGCTATTCTGGGTCCCTTGATTTTCCCTATGAATTTTAGGATCAGCTTGGCAATTTCTACAAAGAAACTGGTTGGGACTTTGATAGAAATTGCGTTGAATCTGTAGATCAATTTGAGGATTATTGCCATATTAACAATACTGTCTTCCAATCCATAAACATGGGGTGCCTTTTCATTATTTAGATTTCTTTTGGTTTCTTTCTGTGATGTTTTACAGTTTTCAGAACATAAGTTTTGTACTTTTGTTAAATATATTCCGAAGTATTTTACTCTTTTGATGTTATTGTAAGTGGAATTATTTTGTTAATTTCATTTCTGATTGTTCATTGCTAGTGTATAGACAATTGATTTTTGTATACTGCAACCTTCCTGAACTCGTTTATTAGTTCTAATAGTCTTTTGGTGGATTCCTTAGGATTTTCTATATACAAGGCCATGCCATCTCGTGAAGAGAAAGAGAGTGTGTTACTTCTTCCTTTCCAATCTGGATGCCTTTTCTTTTCTTTTCTTTTCTTTTCTTTTTTTTTTTTTTTTGAGGAAGATTAGCTCTGAGCTAACTTCTGCTGACAATTGTCCTCTTTTTGCTGAGGAAGACAGGCCCTGAGCTAACATCCGTGCCCATCTTCCTCTACTTTATATGTGGGACACCTACCACAGCATGGCTTGCCAAGTGGTGCTATGTCCATACCTGGGATCCAAACCAGTGAACCCTGGGCCCCCGAAGTGGAACATGCACACTTAACTGCTGCGCCACCGGGCCAGCCCCATATTTCTTTTTCTTGCCTAATTACCCTGGCTAGAACCTCCAGTACAATTTGAATAGACTTGAATACTTGAATACATTGAAAGCCCCATCAGACAGTGTTATAAATTCAGCCATTATGTATATATATATTTAAAGAGCTGAAGAGGCAAAGAATAGACTCATATTTATGCAGATTTTTACCATTTATGTTGTTCTTCCTGCATTCCTGATGCTCTGAGTTTCCCTCTGGTATCATTTCTCTTCTGTTTGAAAAACTTCCTTTAACATTTCTTTTAGAACAGATGCTCTGATTATGAATTCTCTTAGTTTGTCTTCATCTGAGAATGTCTTTATTTCATCTTCATTCCTGAAGGGTATTTTTGCTGGATACAGACTTCTTGGACCAGAATTCTTTCCTTTTAACAGTTTAAAAATGTTGTTCTCCTTCTTTCTGGCCTCCATGCTTTCTGGTGAGAAATCCACAGTCTTTCAAACAGTTGTTCCCCTACATGAAATGCATCATTTTTCTTGGCTGATTTTAGAATTTTTCTTGGTCTTTAGTTTTCAGAAGTTTTTTTTATGTATCTAGGCTTGGGTTTTTGTTGTTGTTGTTTATTTTTATTGTGGTTCACTGCACTTCCTGAATATGTAAGTTTCTATCTTTTCCCAAACTATTGTTAAGTTTACTGACTCTCCTGTCATTTCCATTCTGTTATTAAGCCTATCCAGTGGACTTTAAATTTTGGTTATTTTACTTTTCAGTTCTAAAATTTCCATTTTGTTCCCTTTATATCTTGTTTCTTGACTGATACTTTCTATCTTTTCATTCATTTTAAGAATGTTTACCAATACTTTTTGAAGCATGGTTATTATAGCTGCTGTAAAGTCTTTATCTGATAATTCTAATATCTATGTCATATCAGGGTGGGCATCTGTTGTCTTTTTTCTTACATGTTGAAATTTCCCAGGTTTTCATACACTCATTAATTTTGGATTGTATCCTGGATTTTGTTTTTCATCTAACAAATTTTTATGAACTGTATTACAGAGGTACATTCCAGTTGCCAGGATACAAAGATAAAACATAGAATTCCTGCTGTCATGGAGCTTACAGCTACAGTCTAGGAAAGACCCAGACAAACAATTACAGAAGAATCAATCAGGGTTCTCAAAGAAACATGAACTAGTAAGGATGGCAGTGCCAGAGGAGTGGATAAATTAGAGAAGCAGGGGCTTGGGAGAAGTGACATAAGGACTGAAATATGAGAGCTGAGCAGGGAGTAGCCAGGAAGGGTTTCCCACAAGAAGGGGGAAAAAGGGAAGCATGGAAGGTAGAGAGTGGAGTGCTTGCTTCCTGGGACCTGATACAATTTCCCCCACACCCCAGCCCCCGGCAACCATTTTTCTTCTTTCTGTTTCTATGAGTTTTACTTTTTAAAAATATTCCACATATAAGTGGTACCATGCAGTATTTGTGTTTCTCTGTCTGGCTTATTTCACTTAGTATAATTCCCTCAAGGTCCATCCATGTTGTCACAAATGGCAGGATGTCTTCCTTTCTCATGGCTGAATAATATTCATTGTATATGTATGTACCACATCTTCTTTATCCATTCATCCATTGATGGACGCTTAGGTTGTTCGCATATCTTGGCTATTATGAAGAATGTTGCGATAAAAATGGGAGTGCATAGGGGGCAGCCCAGTGGCATTGTGGTTAAGTTCGTGTGCTCTGCTTTGGCAGCCCAGGGTTTGCCGTTTTGGATTCCTGGGCATGTACCTACACACAACTTTTCAAGCCATGCTGTGGCAGGCATCCCACATATAAAAAATAGAGGAAGATGGGTACTGATGTTAGCTCAGGGCCAATCTTCCTCAGCAAAAAGAATAGTATTGGCAGCGGATGTACATTCTCAGGACTAATCTAAAAAAAATAAAAAAGGAGTGTATATATCTCTCTGAAATCCCATTTTCATTTCCTTTGGGTATATACCCAGAAGTGGAATTGCTGGATCACATGGTAGGTCTATTTTCAAATT